TTTTGATAAGAAATTTGTGCTAAACCCTTTAATGAAATTGGTTTGCTCTATTGGCTTTCTATTCGTTTTCTGCGATGCGATTTCTGTGTAATCATAATTTTGGCCCACCCTGTAGAGTGGATTAGTAGGATCAGCTGACCATAGCCAACTATTCTACTTCAAGTTTGTGCCCCAATAATAGGCGTCAGAGTCGTTCAAATCATCACGAATTCCGCCGCGCAATTTGCCGCGCGCACCCAGAATAGCAATAGCAATAGCACGAATCGGCATACACCCGGGTACCGCTGATAAGGTAGCCATTACCCAACGCCCTTCATAGGTAGTACCATTTCGAGGTTTTAAGAAGGTCGAAGGACATTGTTCTAACGTCTTGATAAAAATGAGCCAGAGTCATTATTTCAATCTCACGATGTCATCATTGGGTCCCACCAGCTCTTTCCACCCTTAATAATTTTATAACTCATTGTCACATGCCAACAGCACACCGCTCATGTCAACTCTTTCTGACACCCAAAGGGAAGTTCTTGGGTAGATTTTCATTGATGTTTACCTGTTAATATCACTAATCAACGTTCATTACTTGTTATCACTTTTAAATCCCAACCACTTCTGTCCTCATCCCATCAAATATTCGATCTCCTTTAGAGTAAACCATTCAGTTAGGAAAAGAATAGCTCGCTGAACTTATTGGTTTTTATTTTAACGCCTCCTATTGGAAGGAATCACTAAAGAAAATCCCTCCCCAACACCCATCTGTGTCCTCCTCCCACTCTATATAAGAGTTTTAAGTGCAAACGTTCTAGAACTAAATAGAAGGCGAAATGAGTCTAGAAGCAATTTTTCACTTTTCCTCATGTTTTGTTGTCATTGTTATCTCCCCCCAACAACCTATATATATGTACTACTCGCACCTCCTTTTCCATGAGAGCGAGAATCCTACTAGTTACCACAACAGCGTAATGAACACATTGGTTGCTGTCTTGAAACATCTGTTATCAGCTTTTATCAGTGATTGGCGTTTTGCCTAGTACTATCTATGATCCTGCCACACCCCGCGAACTCAATGACCTAAGGTCTTCTAAGGATGTAACGAGTTTATGGGCTTCTTTTTAAGGTTAATATTACACCGATGAACAATTTTTGTACTTTTCGGCTCCATTTTTCTTCACAATGCTCTCACCATAATTCGTTTAGCTGCCAGGTTTCGTGGCCCCTCCGAGTGCACCTCCGGTGATACCGACATCATTTACAACTAATTTTACGGATGTGCGATTTAGAGATGTTAGTAATTCAAACTACAATGTGTTACCCTATGCAAGAGTACTTTATCCATTTACGTGAGTTTTTTCAGTTTTCGTCACCCTTTGATTGTGTTTAAATTTCATTCCTAAAGGTAATATTATTCAAATGGGACTTGTCCATGATTTATAGGTTTTTCTATGACACTTGCATGGAATATTTTGTAGTAATTGTATTGCCAACACCAATCAACCAATATTTCTAGACTGCAGTAATAATGTACTACACCTATACGTAATAATTCAGAGGCTCTTCCCTTCTATGACCTTCTATCAGACTCGAAACTATGCATTTCAGGCTACACACACTGCACATAAACACACACATATACACTTGCGCACGCGCGCACATGCATACATGTGACCAAGAGTATTGTATACAGTAGGGTGTTATTTAGGTTTTTCTTCGAACTTTATTCTAAAATAAGTATCTGGAAGCACCAGATGATGACAACTGAACTTCTAAGTTTTCTTGTACTGGCTATTTTGTAGGTCTGCAGCCAATCCTTGCAGTAGCTTTCATTTAAAAAAACTTCCACACGTAATATTTTTATGAAATAATATTGTTCATAATGATCCCCGTGCAATGTCTGTTCAAAAATATTGAGAAAGGCGTCTTAAAAGACGAGTTTATTATTTGAGTTATTAGTGTAACGGTAACTGAACAGTTGAAACAACAGATTTATTCAATGCTATGCAATGATTTCTATTTCAACGATAGTTTATCTCTTACAGGGCTGAGTTCGCCAATGAACTATCATTGAATGTTGACGATATTGTTACTTTGACAAAACGAGTTGATAAGGATTGGCTTGAGGGTAATTTCCAGTTTTTTACCTTTGAAACTTTACTGTTTTTTACTTTCTTGGCTGGTTTTTTGTTGTTGTTCATATATTTCTCACGTTAAGGTAACATTAACGGGAAGTCGGGGATATTTCCGCGATCATTTGTTCAAATTGTTGTTGATTTGCCTAGTGATGGTCATAGCGATACAGAAAACAAGCGACAGAGTACCTCCGAGGAGGGAATTGGGTGCGTTTCTCTCCTCCGCTTCACTCCCTCGACATAGTTTATGGCTCTTAAACTTCCGTATATTTAGCTTTGCCATCGTTCGGCATGACTTCATTGCTAGACAAAGTGATGAGCTCACCGTAAAAATGGGTGATTCAGTCAGAATTCTCAAAATGGTCTGTATTATCAAAATGTTAAGTTGCTTTCCGCTTAGTTTTTCAGTCTCAGTCCTTTTCAGGTAAATACTGACTGGGTATCCTGTAAAGACCCAGCCACGGATGCTTCAGGAATCGTTCCAGTGGCATTTTTGGAGGTTTGTGTCTTTTTGGATTTGGGTTATTTGTACTTTTCTCAGCACTTTCTTCAAAACACTGCGTCGGTTACAAATTTGTGTTTTGTTTATAAACAGTGATTGGTGACGTGGTTCAGGTGTACCTAGATGAAGATGAGGACGATGGCCGCGAGGCAACAAATCGAAATCGTCCAACCAGCTACACTGAACAAAGTGTTAGTCGCTATCTTTTGATTTTTGCATTACATCACTTGATTCTTAATGGAAGCGGCAAGGCAACCGCGGAATGTTGTGCAAAAAAAAGTCGCTTTTCCTTCCGTGCCAGGTCGATTTTATGTCACCATATTTTGCAGAAGCTTATACAGGAAGCGCCAAAATTACTTGCTCAAATATCCACCGCTGTAAAATCGGTCAAACGATAGATTGAGGACTAACTTTTCTACAACACTCTATTTCTACAACACTTGAGCCATTACACATACTCAATTCAAATCTCAAAACTCCCTCCACAGGCTCGGGCACGGCCCCATTGGCTCGAAGGTACTCCAAAGGCATTTCTTCCCATGCTCTGAGCAGGCCCCTCTTCAATGAATCAATTCAGTGGTGTTGCTTAG